TACACACACTCAATGCATCCCTTACAGACGCACACACCGCATCCCATACATACACAAACTCACCTTGCAGCCCTTACACATACAAACACAGATTCACACAATGCATTCCTTACACACATCAGGACATCCCCCGCACACACACACACACCCCTGTGAACAAACTCATTGTTGGAACATGAAGGTGGACCCTGGGACCCAGACCTTGAGCTGTGTAAAGGGTCCTCAAAAAAATGGAGCTGCTTCCCGTTCTCCCAGAACATTGATTTTTGTGACCACAGTTACAAACCGCCTCCAGAGAGCCTGTTCTACACCAGACCAGTGGAGCCAGACTGCAGCTAGAGCCCATCATCATCCTCATCTGGTTGTAAGTAGGCAATCTAGTATATTATTCGTAGCACTAATCTCTAATTTACCTCACATTAAAGGGACACTATAGTCCCCAGAACCACTGCAGCTTAATGTAGTGGTTCTGGTGTCTATAGCCTGTCCCTGCAGGCCTTTTATTGTAAACACGGCCGCACTGCAGCACTGTGTTAGTTAACATGGCAGATCATATGGGTGGGGCATTGTGATGTCTAGGGTGGCAAAAATCCTTGCACCGGCCCTGCAGACACTGCATCCCTGTGGGCGGACTCGGGCGGGGGGGACTCGGGTGCAGGCACCGGGGGGCCCAGACCTTGAGCTGTGTCAGGGGCCCCAAAATTTCTGATGGCAGCCCTGACAGAAACTACCAATGGACAAATGATGAATTCATATTGATTATATAATATATAGATCATACATAACACGTGATCTTTCATATTAGAAAAAAATGATTGTTTCTGGGGCATTAGAATAATCCATAACTTACCTAACCCTCCCATCTAGCACTGCTATGTACTTACCCACCTCCACACTGCCTGTGCTCTGCCAGGTTTCTTCTTCAATTTGCTTTTCTTGGAATACTTTTCCAAGTAGGACAAACCTCCTCTGCAACGTCGACATGCTGGCCTCATTGCCAGAGTTAGATGCAGATACAGTAAGAATAAAATTCTACAACATATAAATAAATGTAAAACTAAAATAATGAGAGTGCATTATACAATGATTATCACTATTGCAATATTGCAGATTGCAACACCTGTTTTATTAGGAACATCATTTTTCTTTTAAATTGTCCATGTGGCCTACAATATGTAGGCCGCCCAATACATCCCTTGCATAAAAGAATCAGTGAACATATGAATAATATTTTAAGTCTATGAGCAACATAGCATATCTGCACATTTTAAGAAATTTCATAACATAAATTCGAAGGGATGGAGAGGGGGTGATTATTTTCTAAATTTAGGTAGAGAGGTTATGAAATGGGTACACTTTATAACGCTTTGTAATTTTTAGACATAATTTTTAAGTACTTTTACTTATTTACATGATATCATATGACCTAATGTTTTCCCTTTTTCCCATTTCTCTCCTTTCAAGATGCAGGTATTTTATTTATTTTTTATTTTTATTGTATCCTTATTTGTTATGTATTATTTAGTCAGGTCATTTTAGGATACCTTTATATATTTTGTATTTGATTTCAATAATGTGTCTGGTTTAATATATGAGCACATTAAATATATGTTTGAGCATTCTTAACCCTTTGAGGACCATAAGATTACCGTCATCAATATAGAAATAATTATATATTTTTTCCCTTTAAGAATGTATTTGAACAATAAATAAAACAATTTCCACACTTGTGTCATTTTTGGGGGAGAAATTATGACACGAGACAAATGTGTCCCTATTGTCCTCAAGGGAGACAAGGTTGCAAGCATTGTCTGTTTCTTGAACTTTAAATTTATTTTACAATGAATTCTAAAGAAGGTCATAATTGAGACAAATTCTGCTACATCTGACTAGGTCACTTTTTATGGAACGCCAAAAGAAGCAATTTTTTTTTGTACACTTCAGTTGCTGTAACTAAGCCATTTCATGAAATAACTGGCAAAAAGCTAGATGCATTTGATAAGAACTAATATTTTGACTCAAACAAAAAAAAAGTATTTTAAGTTCTTAATCAGATGATACAGGCAATTGAAAACATGGGACAAATACGTCCCTTGGTCCTCAAGTATTTTTAATGTGTTGCTTTAATTTGTCCTATTAGATTATCTGTGCAATATATTTTCTAAATGCAAAGAATAGTCATTTTACTTTAACCACTTAAGGACACATGACATGTGTGACATGTCATGATTCCCTTTCATTCCAGAAGTATGGCCCTTAAGGGGTTAAGCATGGACATTCTGATATGCCTAATTGGAATGGACATTTGTTCTATATGTTTTAGTTTATTTAGATTTTTTTTACATATTATTTATGGGAAACATTATATAAAACAACAATATGCAATGTACACGTATACATATACAGTATATATGTACATATGTAGATAAATATATATACACACACGTACAAAACACAGCATGTTACATCATATATATTAATTTGAAATTAAAAAAGGAGGGAACACTCCAGTATGATGTGCAACAAGTACTACTGAATTTATTTAGCAAGTGTTTCAGGCAACAAGTCCTTTCGCAGGGCATCTTGTCCTTAGAAACATAAGCAAAGACTCACCAATATATAAGCAAATACAGGGTAAATCACTCCCTAACCCACCCCAGGTGTACTGTCCATAAAGGTGCTTGCTTCTGGTGTCGACTGCCATTTTGCGACTCTCTGATCTGTGACCAGATCCTCAGATCATGATGGTTGCTAGAAAATATATATATTATATATTATTTACATTAACTTGAAAAAGTTTATAAACCTATGTATGAATTACAAAATGTTCTGTATAGAAGAAGAGAAGATACAAGTTTTCTTTCATGGCCCAGTTTTTGTCAAATGCAATGTTGCAACAAAAGTCGCAATGTAATAAATGAATAAGCAGAGTTAGAAGAAAAGATATATAATAATAAATAAATAACAAAAAGGGGGAAGGGAGGGAAGAGGTGGGGGCAGGGTATCCAACCTAAATTATTATGGCTGGTTAAGTGAGAGAAGACCATAATAGTTACCTCATGTATAACTTATACCAGTATATCATTAGCCCATATGTCCTAGTAGTATCTGAATCTATCCAATGTTACAGATGGTTGCCTAAAGGCCAGTTCATATCCCTTATTTTCAAGTATTAGGTGTAAGACCTCCCCAATAGAAGGAATGTCTGATGACATCCAGTGTCTTGAAGAAACAGTAGTTACTGTAATTTGTACGTGCCCAATAATAATCTTGTCTATCTTTGCAATGGTGTCTGGAAAACTCTTAAATAAAGCCATCTCAGATAGTGGATAGTAGAATTCACCATTTGAATCAATTCATGCATTTCTTTCCAGTAAATTGTTAAACATGGGCAGTACCAAAAAATATGTGATAGAGTACCAGATAGGCAACAATTTTTCCAGCATTTATCACATAAGTTCAGATTAATTTTAGGTAGCCTATAAGGGGCAAATACCATCTGTAAACTACTTTGAGGTGGTTCTCCCAGTGAATGGAGCATTGAGTTATTTCCTTCATAGGGGGACAAAGCTAAGCCACTCTTCTGGCTGGTATCAATATCCTAATGTCACGTGTTTCACCTCACCTGTGTTGTCAATAGGAATTGTCTTCCTAGCAGTGATGGAGGTGTCGTTCAATGGTCCTGCGCTGGTATACCAGACTGCTGCAGCATATCTGTGGATGACGGCTGCTGCGGATCCACACCATATTATAGCCCCACATCCGCCCACGGTAATGACAGCGTCGATGTGCGTGTGACATCACGTAATAGATGCGCATATTTAGGGGTCAAATGTCGGTTACGGCAAATTGGATCTGCAAGAGGTTTCTTTAAACTCATTTCTCATTTCACTCATTGCCCTGACGTGGTTTCCCTTAGTTGGTGATCCGAGAGTGTTTATTTCTGGTTATTGACTTTGACTTCATTTTGACTTCCCTGAATTCTGGTATCCTTGACTATTTTTTCTTTCCCTCATCGTTGTGTCTCCTTCTGTGTCCCTGACCTCATCAAGTATTCTGACTATTCTCTGGTACGTTAAGTCCATCCATTCTAGGGCCCGGTAAGACGTTACCATTAGTCCTAGGTGTGATATAATTGTATGTGCTGGATCAATTAGTAATTCTGACACCTAAGTCCTTTTCCCAGGCCAGCATATAGGTCTGCTTTACGGAGAGGTTTAGGCATTAGAAAAAGATAGCATAGGGGAATAGTTCCTTTTCTTTCAGGGTTATATAGATACATTTTTTCTAGGTTGGATGAAGCCAATTCTTTATAATTTTTGGTCTAAATTTTGAATTGAGAATTTGTCTTTTAATATAGCTATAATCAAGTTGCATTCCAATTGTAAATTGTTATTAAGGCTGAATTTGTCTTTTAGTTTTTCAAAGGACAATAATGTCTAATAAAGAAAGCATCTAAATTTAGAATTTGATGTTGATGCCAATGTTCCAGGTTGAACTGGGGATTATCATGTTTTAAAAGGGATAATGGCATTGCTCAAGACCAGCCAGAGGAGGGTCCAATGACTTTATATAAAAAATTCCAAACTTTGACAAAAGTCTTTGGGGTGGGGAACATCTCAGCCTGCCTGGGTCTTTTAGAAGGGGGAAGCCAGAGTATTTCCCTAATTGAATGTTTGCCCAATTCAGCCCCCCCCATTTCTAACCAGTTTAGATGGTGAGACAATATATTGAATTTTAGTTCTGCTGCAGCATTGGAGGCATGATAATATTTAACCAAGTCTAGTATTCCCATGCCACCATGACTTTCAGGGTTTTGTAGTACTGAATTTTCTTTCCTACTCATTCAGCTACCCCAAATGGTCAATAGTCAGTATTGATTGTACTAACTTAAAGAAGGATTTCGGAATGGTCAGGGGAATGGCTCTGCTATAATAAAGGACTTTTGGTAGAATGCTCATTTTGACCAAGGTCAATCTTCTCAACCAGGATAGCTAAATTATAAATTTTCTGTAATTTACTCTTTTTTTTTTTTTTTAAGGTTAAGTGGGTGCATTTTGTTTAGATTTTTGCCCAGTTTTATCCCCAGATAATTCAAATGTGAGTCTCTCCATTCATAGTTATATTGCAATTTCCATTCATCCAGATCGTACCATTGAATAGGAACTGGTAGAGCTTGTGTCTTACCTGAGTTAAGTTTATAGAACGATGATTCTCCAAATACTCCCAGTATGTTATGTAAAGGACCTATAAAGTCTGACAAAGATAGGATGATGTCGTCTGCAAATAGTCCTATTTTATGTGTCTCGTTCCTTATTCTAATGCCTTTCATTTTGTTGGTACT